TAATGACGTCATAGCCCGCCAAAATAAAAAGCCTATTTTTCCCCTTCTTCTCTTCCTTCAAAACAAATAGGTAAAAGCATACGAAATTACCCATAGCAATAAATACAGTTCAGTGATGGTGCCACATATAACCTGATATGATAGATGACTCACCAGGATGTCAAGGGAGGGAGAACCATCACATCAGTAGCCGCAGAGTCAACCAGTAGAAAAGTATATGGCGGGAGAATAAGCTGTCAGTGTATTGGCGAGTGGGTAGAAGAATGGGTGGAGCTGCAGCTGTATCTGCGGCCGTGTCAGACATAGTCATAGGAACCAGGGAGCGTCGCTGGAGCGCAGCGTAAACAATATGCAGCCCCCGCACGGGGATCCAGGAGGCGCCTGCTTACGCACACTGGTAAGAGGGAAAGCGTCTCCCCATTGCTAGGCAACCAGGCAAGTGATCCTCGTAGTGGTAAAAAAGAGAAAAAAAGAGTTTAGGAGACCCCTGAGAAAGAAGCGTGTTGATTTGGAATTACGTGGACTGACTTTATCTGAACATTATCGTGCTAAGAAAATTTCCAGAGGATTCCGCATCTGTAATCAACCCGCTATAGGCAGACAGAAATTAGATTTTTGCGAAAAGTGGTGCGATATCTCAACACAAAATTCTCTCAACTATATGCTGCTGGCAATAGAGGAAGTAGAGGTGCAACTGTGCCAAATCAATAAAGATATCACATTGCATAAAAATCATATCAGGAACAAAGTGACGGATGAAACCCTTTATAACTCTGAACTTTCTAAAATCGAGTCTGATATCACTTCTTACACTGACAAGATCAGAACTGCCAAAAGAGAAAAATTCAAACAAGTGTGTCAAGATTACCAGAAGGGTAGGGTATACCCTTTGCTCACTGGCAATAGCACACAAAGACAACACAGGAGAGGTGCTTTGCACAAAGAGGCTTTCGACAAAACGAAAAGACACACCATCTCTTTTGAGAGTGAACGACACACGGAGAATCCTCTACAGACAGTGACATCCCTGCTAAGGTGCCCATACACTCTACAACCCTCGCAAGAGTTTTGTCTTGCGAGGGTTGTAAAGTACTTAAAAAAACGTACGATCTGCCCTTCTTGGACAGGCAGATCGTACTTGCTACGATGATCGCAAGCCCGCCCCACTTGCGATCATCGCAAGCCCGCGTGCGCACACCGGGCCGTTTGGCAGTGATCTCTCGATCATGTTAAAAACCAGCCGAAAATCGTACCATTCTTGGCTGGTTTTCCAACATGCTCGATATACAAAAGTCGTGCGACCATACATTAGAAACCGTCCCACGTCTTCCATACACTGCACGATTCTCGTACGATCGCGGGATTTCCCGCAATTCTCATACGAGAATCGTGCAGTGTATGGGCACCTCTACAGAAACACAGAGCACTACCCCCAACTCCCCACTCCATTTTTAGGAATACCAGAAAGAGACGCACCAGGAGGGGCAGTAAGAAACAAAAACCGCGGACCACCTATGGACACCAGACAATGCAAGCCGAGGAATACCCGGTAATTAACCTTTCTTCTAAATCTTTAACTAGTGGGGAGATGTGCATTTTAAGCAAGTGTCTGTCTTTCTGTTCTACACCAATGTTCAATGACTTTGAATTCAAGATAGACACAAGCTTGAACAGTCACTTAAACAACATTTCTCTGATACTCTTTGCACCTCTGCCATTGACACGACTGTAAGGAGACTCACCCTCATTTGGATCTGAGGGACGTACTTGCTCCGCACAGCACTTCTGTGACGGACTGAACCGTCACTGGGGCTGCTGGAGGAGCCTGAGGGCTAGCCTCCTTCCTACGGACTATGGACCAGAACTATGGAGACCCCCCTCAGACCTCTTGGGGTTACATGGAACCATTCTACTAGGATACGTGTGGAGTGGATAAACTACATGTCTCCCCCGACATTACAGACACACACATCACTGTGTTCATTATAGGCAGCAGGCTGCCTGGAGTGACCATTGTTTGCAATGATGGGATTAAGCTCCTCTCTAATTAAGGACATTCATCCCAAAGAGTGTCTGTGCTTAAAAGACTTCCAATGCGGGACCCGGCTGTCTGGGGGAGGGGACACACTGAACTCTAATCTGATCCTGTCAGGTATAAACTCTGTGTGCTTCCTTCAATAAAGCAGATCTTGTTTTCCACCTCAACATTGGTGTTGTCTAATGATTGAGTGGTTTAGTGTTCTGTCCTAAGATATTGGTTCTGTCCAATAATTAGGCAGGTTTGGGCTGATGACACTGGGATTCTGGTTCCAGCGGAGAGGAAGCGGTTTCCTGACGGAGGTACCCAGTCGGGGTACCAGGCGGTCCGTCACAACTTCCACTTAATTTGGCTCCGCCTACCGCTGACGAGCTTAAGAAGACGGGGAGTTGAGTTGCTTGGCGTCTCACTAATGTTGTGGATGCTGAGCAATTGGCCTCCACACGTCGGGACTCTCTCCCTCCCTTTGACTCCTCTCAGCACCTCTCAGCAGCAGGACAACGCTTTCCTCACCACACTTGCTGTTCCTGGCGTCTTCATAGTCCAGTGGAAACAACGGTTAGCAGTACATTCATCCCTGGCACTTTGTTTCTACTCAGCAGCTTAATGAGAATTACTACGACAGGAAAACTACACATCTCATCAGTCTTAACCAACCGCAAGTAACCTTATACCTGTTTAATGCAAACCATCTGCTGTTACTCTGCACCTTATTGTGTTACATGCCCATGCACATACAAATGCTTGTAAAACTGCCAAATGATAGCATTGTCTAAAAGTTCCAACTACCTCCCTAACGGATAAACATCCTCCAGTTTTCCTTTTGTACCTCTTCCCACAAAATTAACTTGTGCATATTTAATATATCCCTACACCTTGTTTGTGGTTTTCACTAGGGATGCACAGATACTTTTCGAGTACCAGTGCAGATACTTGGCATTTTCATGAGTACAACCAGGGTTGCAGCTGGGACCTGGCTCTGGCACTCCACCACTGTCCTGAAATCATTAGTCTGTATTGTTTTAGAAAAACTGTTGCATGACAATAAACAAAAATGTTTCAGTACTCGTACTTGTAAGTACTCGGCAAGTACCAGTACTCGTACTCGCAAAACTGGTATCTGTGCATCCCTTTATTTATATTTATAAAAACAAAATCGTAAATTAAAACAGAGATGTACAAATCCCAGGAGCTCTGTGTGCTCCTTACAAATGACAGCGGCCTCCTAATTTTTGATTTTTTTCTCTAGTGTAGTCTTGGAGCTCAAAAGTATCGGTACATGTACTCGTACTTGTACCGAGTACTGTACTTGGTATCTCTGCAACCCTAGTTTCCACATAAACCTCCAGCAGTGTATGATGTAGCAGGTCCCTGCTCATACCTCTCTAATCATTAGAGTTAATGTTGCACGACTGAAAAACTGAATCACTGTCATAAAATACTTACAATTTGGGCTGAATAAGAAGCTGCAGTTGAGAATCCAGTGATAGCGTTAGATAACTTGTTGGACCCTGACAACCACTTGCCTTAAATTTAGAAACAAAACCTCTTTCGTCCCACCTGGTTTTTCCCTACTATAGAAACATTCATTAAAACCCTAAAACATCAAACTTATGAGGTTGCCACCCAAAGAAGAACCAACACAGCACGGTCTCTGAATTTAAACAACGATGATTGTTATCAACTACTCTGATTATAGAGTAGGCATGCTGAAACTACTTTCAGATGGCTCCAGCTATGCACCAATTACACATGATCCTGTGCAATTTATACAATGCAAGCTATCACAACATGTGGATTATGCCTCGAGTTCGGGCCTGTTCTCCAAGGGAATAGCAGAATGGATATATACTGAACACCTACGCATGATCTATGGTCTTACTAAATTGAACAAAGGCTGCAACTTACTAACATACAGGCCCATTGAGGCTGGGGTTGGTTCTGTCTTACAACCACTGGCTGCGCTCCTTGACCATTTTCTCCAACCCACGGTTAAAGGTTTACCATCCCATATTAGAGACACTAATTAATTTATTGATAAACTACGCTGTATTGATGTGATGGGTGCTGAATGGTTACTCCTGACTATGGATATCTCTGCACTCTATACTTGTATACCAACTGAGTTGGGCCTTGAAGCAGCAGGCCATTTCCTGTCCCAGAGGGAGATACTGTCCCCTCCTACTGAGTTTATATTAGAGGGCCTCCGCATGATTCTGGAGAACAATTACTTCAGATTTGAGAAGTATTACTACCTGCAAACCAAGGGGATGGCTATGGGTAGTTCAGCTGCCCCTTCCTACGCCAATCTTTTCGATATCTTGAAGAGAAGTATATTTATCCCTCTAAACTCTTCTCCCATGAAAACTATGGACTACATACATTGACAATGTTTTTGTACTGTGGACCAGTACGCATGACAATCTGCATGTGTTTGTTGAAGTTTTAAATTCTATTGTTGATGGCATTGCATTTAATTCTGAGGTATTACAAATGAGTGATACCTCAGATGTATAGGTTGGTACTACAAATGGTCATATTAACACTTCTTTATACACAAAACCGACTGATCGTAACACATTATTATCCTTAGAGATCACAGTCATGCGCATTTTTTCTGACTCTGACGATTGCCTAACCCAACTACATAAGATGTATAACAATGATGTATAACAAATTTCTTGAGAGGCTACACATCCTAAAACAAACACTTGAAATGGCCAGGATCAGATTTGATTCCCCCATACACAGGGAGGGCAACCCTAACTGTGCACTTTTTATCACTAAGTTCAATCCACATTCTATCCATATTGCACATACTTTACGACGCAACACTAACATCTTACTGGCCGACAGAACACTTTGGCATATGGTTATCTCAATTATAAGGAATGCAAAAACATTTTACATTTTGAAATTAGAAATATACTCTTTAGCAACCATTAAACAATTAAAACCACACCTTGGCATTTCTGATAGTGCATGAAGCTGGTTTCCATCAGTAAGCTCATTATGTGATATATTGAGGAGTGTCAAACACTGGAGACCGTTAACTGTCCTGTAAGAGAAAAAATGTACAGTTATTTTACTGATAAAAGGAGATTGCAGAACTTCTCAAACACTAGTTACCAATAAACGGTACAAAAACCCTAATTTGAAATTTTAGTAAATTGGCAAAAGCATTGGCAAGTGCTTGTCCATGTTGAAGAGGGTAACATGTCGCTAGAACACTGGCTTCACAGGCAATCAGGAAGCCGGGCGGCGGGTCATGATCCACCGCCCGACTTCCTGATAATCGGGGTACAAGGCACCGGTACTCAGTATCGGTGAATACCAAAAATATCGGTACTCGATACCAAAAAAATGGTATCGGTGCATCCCTACTTACCACACCTTAATAAACTCTCTTAAAAAAAGTTGGGTATATTTTTCTGACCCCCTAGCTCTGGGTAAATCAATCAACATTTCTACCCATTTATGACACAAGCCATGGGGTTTTGCTTTTTCAATGTTCAAATATGGGTATCCCCTAGCTCTCAAAGCTGCCTGTCAAAACATTACCTCTTTCATAAGGGAAAAATCATCCAATTACATTGTCTGGTTACAAACTCTCGCACCAGCATCGCCTTAATTGCATGGAAAGAGTGACAGCTACTAGCTCTCAATGGTATTTTCACTACACTCCTTCCTCCAGAAGAATGATATCCAAGAAGTCAATCAACTTTGAATTGCCATTGCTTTTACAGTCCATTGTTGTTCAAACGCTCAACAAAATACCTCACCAGTTTTGATGTCCCACGCCAAACCAACAAAAGTTTATCGATATAGTGACTATACTATACCATACAATGTGGTCACTGAAAGGATTAGTACCTATAAAAATGTGAAGCTCTTCCAACCAACCCATACAGTATATCTGGCTCTGTTCACATCCCTTCTATGCCAGATCACATCCCACATCACACAAGATCGCATGTTACACTAATGAGTGCACTGTGGTGCCATTATAATCACACCCCAATGCATTTAGCCATCATAAGCGCATTGCATTGCACTACAATGAATGGGAACTTAGAATTGTGTTGTGGTGCAATGTGATTTAAAAAAAAAAGGGTCATGCACTCCCTTTAGTGGTATTTAGATGCAGTAGGCAGCAAATTCAAATGAATAGGCTGTCTACCGCAATGCACCCTGCAGAACACCTGCAATGTTGCATCGCAGAGATGTAAAGGGAGTAATTGTGGGAAGCCCACTGCTGTGTAGCCTAACGTAGCTGTCAAAAGCCAGATGCAGCGCTGCAGCTCCATCCATGACAGGTCACACATCTCTGCGGTAAACAGACCTTTATTGTTATTAACAGAGCTATTAATATAAGTTTTTAGCAGAAATGGAGTGTTAGGGAAGGAGTAATGAGAAAAAGGGTTGGTGGGGGGAAGGGAGGTAGACATGATTGGGAGAGGCTATAGGTCGGAAGGTGGCCGGGGGACACTATGTTTATGCACCAGCAAGGTGCTGTGGATGTTATAGTGTCAAGAGATTTTGATCAAAATCCCTTGGCAGGTAATTGTCTATCCGTGTTTGCAAAACATCCTTAAATGTTACCCCTAAAGTGTATGTAAACCCAAACAATAAAGTTGTGTAATCGCACCCTCTTTGCTTTGGAAACATAGTTGTTCATGTTTTTTTATATTGGTATTGATTTGGATTGATTGGGTTTTATTGATCCTGCCAGTTTATGCTCTCGCTAAAGCCTTTTCAATAAGGTGACCACCAGCTCCCAATTTTGTAGGATGGTGGTCATCTGATGTCTGATAGACACCTGCTCTGACCATTTATTAGCTGAGACAGGGACTTCTTGTAAACATAATTGGCCCTTTTGCCTGTCACGGAAAAATAGATCTACTGGCACGAGCGACAGAAAATAAAGTAGTTACATGGGAGACTCCGAAAAACAAAATCTATTGTGTTAATATCAGTGACAGTCATTCATATGTAATTTTTTATTTTATTTTGCAATTTAATCTGAACCCTAAAACGTACAAATGCAAAACATAAAAATAATCCCAACCTTTAAGTTATCATCACAGAGAAATGTATGGGTTGTAATTAGTCACCTCTCCTATAAGTTCTCTATTCTCTGACCTCAAACAAATACAGAGGTATACAAAATTCTAACATGTGTGAAAACGAGCGCCGGCTTCCCCATTCTACATTTAGGACTGCGTGCCCGAAGCAGGGCTAAATGTAGAGAAAAAACACCCGCCTGGCGCTTGAAACTGCAAGAGGCTTTGGGTGCTCGGAAATCCACACCCCTGTCTGACCTTTCACACTTAAATTTGCTGCGTGTTCTAGTTGTGGAAAGGCCAGAAATGGAAACCCATTTAGCGCTCTCATTACAGGTGTACTTTAACGCTCACACTGGTTATTATTGTCTTCTGACAATAACATTAAACCTAAACTAATCCATATAGCTAACCATACAACTTACCATCTCACTGAACAATCTACAATCTGAATGGAGAAGACTGGAGAAGACCGACTGGTTTGTTTAGCTAGGCCTCCACAATCCATATGTCTGGTCAATCTAAAGGAGATTGTACAATTAGATTTTAATGTGTATGGCTTGCTATACAATAAACCTGTGGAATGACATGCTTACCTTATGTGCCAGGGTACCCAGCATCAAAAGCTAGCTCTAGCTCAGAGATGTTGGTTACAAAACTGATCCATGATAAATATAAAGGTGTATAACTAAGTCTCTTTACATTTGCTCTGAGATGCTGTATCATTTTTATATACATTTTAAACTGCAAAAATTAATTTAAATCAACATCTTTACCTTTCCAACGAAGCAATAGAATTTGAAGCTAGATGCAGCTCTTCAAGCACGGGCCACATAGCAGCACATTGCAACACCTGACAAAAACATATTATTTAAATCCGTTATTATGGCAAGTAACTATCAGTGCTATTCTAATTTTACAATCCTACTATACTTTTAGAACAATTTCTAGTCTTTTCATACCACATGAAAATTAAACTAATCGGTGAGCTACTGATTTTATCCAGCAAACACTGGTAAACAACTGTGTAAAAGTATAACAGCGGATAACATCACATAAGATAACAGCAAGTAATAATAAAAATAACAACAAAAATAGGATTTTTGACTTACCAGTCCAATCCTTTTCTTGGAATGCACTACAGGACACAGGCAGATTTTGAGACGACTGGCTAACATGTAGGTATCATCAAGTAACTGGACACAGGCCAGAGCTGTGAGAACCTTCATAAAAACCATCTCCGCCTTTCAAAGCCATAGTTATTTTATCAAGCAAAAAATTACAAAGAGGGCAGGCTCAAAAGTCCTGTACTGTACTCCAAGAAACGCATTTTACTCGCAAGTCAAAAACCCTTTTTTACTTGATCCTACAGTATGAGACACAGGCAGATTCAAAGACAACTGGGATGTTCAAAACCAATACAACTGAGGGGTGGCCAATACAGCAAACAACCAACAAAACAAAGCGGGAAATGCAACAAACAACAGCCTGTGGCACCCTATGGACCAGACTAGCATCAGCCGAGGCTTGAACCTCCCCTAGATAAAACTTAGTAAACATGTGAACAGAAGACCAGATGGCAGCCTTACAATTCTGAAGAGAAGTCTGATGCCGAAAAGCCCAAGAAGAATTGACAGATCTAGTAGAATGTGCCTCAACAGGAAAGGGTGGAATAGGCATGCAGAATGACTTGTCTCATCCACCAAGAAATAATGGAACAAGACACAGGGAGACCTCTGTGAGGTCCTTTAGGCAAAACAAGAGGCAACTGGATTGCCTGAAAGAAGCCATAGCCAAAATATAAAATTGGACAGCCCAAACCCTATCTAATTAGTTCTGTTTTAGAGTATGACAAAATGAAGGAAGCACCATGTCCTGATTAAGAAGAAATGAGGACACCACTTTAGGCAGAAAGAATTCCTGAGGTCTGAGGATAACCTTGCCCTTGTGAAGAAAAAGGAACAGTTTCTTGCACAACAGTTTTGCCAACCCCAAAACCCTCCTAACAAAGGTAATGGTGACAAGGAAGACCACCTCGTGCATAAGATGCACCAAAGAGATATCTCCAAAAGGTTCAAAGGGAGCTTGCTATAGAGATGAAAGAAAAAGATTGAGATCCCACGGCATCACCAGAAAGCATCTAGGGGGATACATGAGCAATCCCCTGCACAAAGGCCTTTACCAATGAACGAGAGGCCGAAAGCTACTGCAAACAGGTGACGAAACTGAAATTTGTCTCTTGAGAAAAGTTGGGCTAAAAGTGGATACAATCCTGGCTGGAAGAAGGCCAGAACTCATCGCACAGAGTACCTCTTAAGATGAAAATTCCACTGTTTACACCAGGATAAGTAAGCCCTCCAGGTGCGGTAGTATCTTGTGAGATGTGAACTTCCTGGCATGCAAGAGTGTTTGTGAATGACCAAGTTAGACAGAACTCATTCCCTCAAAACCTGCACTTCAACAGCCCAGCAGTCAGGAGATGCACATCCGGCATCCCACAGCAGCAGCAAATCACCCAAAATATCTCGGGGTGTAGAGACAATACCCTTGAAAACAGCCACCGATGAGAAAACCAGCCTGCCAATTGTCCACTCCGGAAATTTGCAAAGCAGTTAAATCCAGGATGTAAAGTTCTGCCCAGGCCATGATCAAGTCTGCTTCTCTTTGAACCATGAATCCTCTGTTTTCTACTTGATGATTGATGTATGCCACAGCCGTGTCGTTGTCAGACTGTACCCCCGTTAGCCCTCCCTGAAGATGGCATGTCCAGCACTGCAGGGAGAAACTAATCACCCTCAGCTCCAGCACATTAATGGTTGAGGTTCCGAGGACACCTCCCCAGCCCAGAGGGCTGGCATCCGTCATCAGTATTGTCCAACGCAGTAGAAGAATGAGGCCACCATCAGACCCAGGACCCTCATGCAGACTCTCACCTAGAGCTTGTCCTTGACTTTGAGGGTCCACACCAGAGAACAAAGGGACAAAACCTTTACACGAGGGAGAAACACTCGGGCCTGATCCGTTTCCAGGAGAAAGCCCAGGTACTCCAGATGGTGAGTTGAATTCAGTGTGGACCTCTGAAGTTTGAGGATTCATCTGAAGCATTGAAGTGTCCAAATTGTTCTCGGGACATCAGCAGATAGTGTCCGCTTGGATCGGGCCTTCAACAGAAGATTATCCAAGCAATCCACAAGAATAAAACATTGCAAGGAAATAAGCCAGCACTTTTGTGAAGACCCATGGGATCATGGTAAGGCCAAAGGTGAGTGCCACAAATTGTAAATAGTTTTCTCCCAAGGCAAAGCACAGGAATCAGAAATGCAGGTAGGCATCCTGGATGTCTAGCAAAGCAAGGAAATCGCCCTGTTGAAGGGAGGCAAAGACCAATCACATTGATTCCTTGTGGAACTTGCAAATCAGAAGACACTTGTTAAAATATTTTGGTTCAGGATAGGTCGCACCACTCTGTTGGGTTTTGGAAAGGTAAAAAAGTTGGAGTAAACCACTGGAACTCTCCCGAGGGTCTCCTGATACAAGGAATGGCTGCAATACCCTCTACAGAGCCATTTTGCACTGGGAGGAAGAGGGCAGATTCGAAGGCTTAAACAAGGTAGAGGGTAGGATTGAAAATCCTCCTTGAGTCCATAGAAAATGTCCTTTGCAAAAAAAATTGGCCACATAGGCCCACTTGTGAAAGCGGGGGTGCCCTATCATTGGGAGGCCAGCATAGAATCAGGCTTGGAGACTAAGGAGTCCAGGCTTTGCACCTGAATTGGGCTCCAGGTTTTGATTTTAAGGCAGACAGCTAAGGGGGCAAAAGGAGATCTTCCTGGACAAGGCTGCGGTTGGCTTACCGAGAAGAACGTTAGGTTTTCGCTTGCCAGGTAATAGAGTACTCTTACCCCCAGTAACTTTCTTGATGAAAGTGTCCAGGTCCTCTCCGAAGACATTCTCCAGAGAAAAGAAATCCTCTCAAGGAATTTATTGCATGTTCGCTGTGCTTACCAATAGTTGATCCACAGATGTCTGAGCATCTGGACTGACAGATGGCCCAGTCTATAGAGCTGAAGCAACATGTAAGCCAAGCATAAATCATAATGGAGCCTGGATCATGGGCCATATGCTAGGGCCCTATGCACCGAGGCCTGACACACCTCCACAGAAGCCATGGTAGGCGATAGGGTCAGCCTTAAATGCGAAGGAAGCCTTAAACCAGCCCTCAAGGCAATTGCCCACCGTATCCTTAAATCCTCCACCAGTACACTTAGTGACTTGTTAAGTGGGCACTGCCCATTTTTAAGAAATGCTTCCTCCAGGGCAGGGGTAGCCAAACTGCGGCCCTCCAGCTGTGATGAAGCTACAAGTCCCATTAGGCATTGCAAGTCTCTGACAGCCAAAGGCATGGCCTACTGAGTCAGATGCATGATAGTATTTGTAGTTTCCCCACAGCTGGAGGGCCGCAGTTTGGCTACCCCTGCTCCAGGGGATACTGCTGTAAAAACCCCTTTGGAGGAGCAAAACACTTCTCAGGATGCGGCCAATCCGCATATGTCAGTTCCTCTACCAGGGAATGTAAGGTCTTAGTTGCTTCTTTCCCACCATACTAGTGAGCACTGAAATGGTGTCAAATATTTGCGACAGGTGTCAGAGCCTGGAGAGGAGTCTGGTCCCCAGCAAACACATCTTGATCCATGTCAGCAGTGAAATGGCCCCTCTAGTACACAGAGCTATCCTTCTTATATAGTATAGTATACAAAATAGAAGAGCACTAAAGGCTTCTTGCTTTCACTCCGCTTTACACTCCGTTAGTAAACGTCTATCCTCCTCGCTACTCTTCCTCTTAGTGTTCACTCTCCCTCCCAGCTTTACTTTGCAAAAGAGTATTTCCTGTTTTTGTTACATGAAACTTCCTGCACACAATAAGATTTACACTCTTATGACTCATGCACAACCTCTGTCTCTTTGCTCTCCCTAAACATACTCTTCTTTGCAGTGTTACATTTGGTTTGAATTCTTTTAAATATTTCATTTGTATTGCGTGTAAAATAAGCAAAACCAAAAACTACTATAAACTCACTGGCTGTTCTAAATGCTGGCCTACAAGTGTATCATACCCTGTTATTCTAACATGGAAAAAAAAGATATGTTGAGACATTGTTAGGGAACCAAAAATCCAGACTGAAACGTAGAGTGCAGGATTAAAATATAAAAGGAGTTTATTGAAAACAACAATAAACATAAATAGCAAAAAAAAACAGAGAAAGTCCAGGACGTAGTCAGTGCCAAGCCAGGGGTCAGATGCCAAAGCGGGTAGTCAGCCAAGCCAGATCAGGGAGCATGGAGCGCGGCATGAATGGAAACGAGGCAGGATTTAGGAACCAGGAGATCAGTCAGCTACAGCCAGGATCATACACGGAGATCAAGACTAACAGCAGCACACTTAGTTGATCAGAACAAATGCAAGGGCGGAGACTGAATGGACAATTTGAAGGTTAAATAGTGATCTGGTGCCTGCATCATCACTCTGAGACCAGAATTACCCAAGAGTCCAGCCAGTGCAGCAGAGTGACGATGTGTGCGGGTTTGAACATAAGAGAGCGCCAAAGAGCAACCACAGCATCACAAACATTCCGCCATGCTGCGAGCAATTTAACAAGGCAGGGTACGAAACCCTGACAACATATGCTAATGGAAAGAAAGTGACCATTATTATTGTTCACCTGTTATGAAATCTTGTTATTATTGAGGTCCTAATTTCCAGGGTTTTTAGGGTTGGGGGTATTACACAACATCCTCTGATGCCTATGATCAGGTTTTACAGGCCAACCACAGCGTTTATCAGGGATTAAAAAA